GTGTATTGATTTGACCATGGCAATAATAGATCAATCCAGAAAGCATGTCATCTATTGGTTATGATGTCATTCTTACAATTTCAGTGCAGAAATAGGATTAAAATATTGCTAATTTTCAAAAACTTCTTTCAATTTTGTTTACAAACATTGCTGCCTGTAAAGTATGACATCATAAATCAGTCTAGCCAATATACCCTAGTTTCCTTGGTTCACAAATAGGGGTCAGGATTTATTGGAAAGGTCTATTAGACGGTGGTACTACTACACTGCACCTGATATTTCAAATCTTCGATAGCCTGGAATAGCGCACCTTTAGTGTATAAAACATGACCAAAGAGGGTTAGTCTTTAATATAAATGTCTTGGTTGCTCCGGGTCATCAATGCGGGGTTCATATATTATAACATCTCAATAACTTTCATGTATCGATAATACATTGTATGTAACTATGTATTGTATCATTTGACACATTTTGTGAATGTTGTACATTTATAAACGAAATCATATTGAGTAAGATATCAACAGAGAAAAGGGAAAAAATGGATTTACCTGTGAGCTCTCCACAAATCAGGGTATTGTTTCAATGAACCTCTGTACTTTTTCATGTACTTTGCTGAGCTAGATCTGGAATCGATGGGTCTATTTGTACTTGTGCTAGAAGCTCTGGATCCAAGTGATATTCTGAGGAGCGACATGCTCTACAAAACACATGTACAAGAAATAGCCTAGGCCTAGTGTCAAGCATCATGCACGTTAGAATTAGAATACATGTAGAATTAGATACATTTTTGTAACTGAATAGGCCTGTACATGTATAGCCAGGTTATTAAAGCGATATGACAAATCTTATAAGTCTATATTCCAAGTTCCATTTATTTGACACATATGAGGTGTCAAATGACAAACATCTCCTAACGTCAAAGTAAGCTTATTCCATTGATACCTAAGGCTGTATTGAACGTCGAACGTGACGAAGCATCAAGTCCATAAACGCATTAATTTTACTATATTCGGGTTCTACAAGCAACGTGTTTTTGTTGGGAACTGAATATATGTTGAAAGCAATACAAGTTATGGGGAAAATACGTCGAATTATACGAAATACTTACGTCTTCTGCTAGCCAAAATGGCCCCAGCCGGGACGAATCTAAATTGCGAATGGTCTATGTGGAACGAAACTGTAGCAATTTCTATCAATGCAATATCATTTATGGAATAAATAGTCTAAATAGTCGATCAAAGATCATTTATATAATTCAAATAACCATGCATAAAGAATTTGTTTTCAGTGAAGTCGAGAAGAATTGAGTCCATTGGTGTCAAACGTCACGCACGTTAGAATTTTATTGGTTCTATTCTATTTTCTGCATACAATAATTGACGAAATTTTCTGAACTGTGAAACTGAGATTAGTAAAAGCAATAAAAATCAGTGCTTGGCACTCCTGACAAGACTATTGACATAACCATTAGCATAAGGACAAGATGTACATCTTTTATAACGTGCGTGATTGCTTGACACGAACACTTTTATCACATATAAATTAAGCTATGGTGTCAAAAAACAGATTAATGACGAAAACAAACACAATATTTGCTGATTCCAGATGAATGTTCCCTTTCTTACATTTAGGTGTGTGTGAAAATCGTTTTATATCGAGAAATTTAAGTAATTCGTTAATGCGAGAGTATGACACGATAAAGGACTACGTGCGTGGCGGATTAACGTGTGTAACGAAGTTTGACACCAATCTTCGAGCAACTTATAAAGACCATATTGCCGCTTCAGAGTTGAAACTTACCACTGGATCTATAACATCTCGTAAATGTGTAAATAAAATACAATTTCATTTACACATGTGATCGCGTATTTTGTATGAAAATAGGCTTTCTAACGTGCGTGACGAGTTTGACACGAAAAACGATAATGCACGCAACTGAGCATAAAAATTATTTTCCATATATACTTCATATAGCATTGAACACAATGAGAGCTCGGTGTATCCTCTTTCGAAAAAACACTTCATCTGACTTTTTGTAAAAATAATCAGCCTTGAGCTCATGAATAACGTGCGTGATGGTGTTTGACACCATGCATCACGCACGTTAGTTCTAAATTGACATTGTCTTATTTTTCGAGTATGGTAGATTTATTATCTGAAAACGAAATGATTCACATAGATAACCTCTGTAGACTTGTGGCAACACATTTTTCCGCCTCATTTCCAGAAAGAAAGATCCAGGGGATGTATCTCTGATGTACCCCCCAAAATTGCTTAAAAAACTGCAAAAACAGCTGGACACGAAGCCCAAAAAAGTGAATAACTTCAACAAATTTTAACATTTTCACCTGATATTATCCTCAGTATCTTTTTAACCTCTACTGAGTTGAATAAAATAATCGCTTTTGGCTATACTTCTCAAAATGTTGAGATATCGAGCATGTAACATTTGAACTTTTGAGTGACGAACTTTTGAAAAAGACCCATATGCCTTTTTATTATCCGCCTTTCCACCCCATTTGGCTTCATCTCCACCTACTGTTATCTTTTGGTTAGTTCCTCCTCTGAAGGCTTTATCTATCACCCATTTCAGTTTTTCCTTTATGTCAGTTAGATTTATCTTTGTGTATAGTGTAGAGAAATCATACGAGGCTATGTTTCTTGCCCCGTTCCTTCAATTTACACTTTTAATGTTATCTAACATATATTTTTGGTTATTGTCGCTGATCCACATCCTATTGGCACCTGTATAATCCTTAATCTTCTCACAGTATCTTTTGTTAGTATATTGCACTAGTTTAAGAATCTTGGTCAGTTTTTTGGCAGCTGGTTTTACAGAACTTTTCTTTGAGCCAATGATATATCTAAATTTAATTGGCTGTTTATGCATTTTAATTGTAAGATGAATCCTTGGTATAATACTTTGTTCTTCTCCCGGTTCAATCTTGAATTTTGTTTTCATTGTCTCTTTGATTTCCTCCACTATATCTTCTTTATCTTCTATCCTTTGATAGGTGTCACTTCCAATTTCCTCTTTAATCTTCTTTATGTAGTATTGTTTGCACATAAACCCAATATTATTTGCTGCCTTATCAATAGGTACAAAGGCATATTTTTCCTTGAGTTGATTGAGTTCTTCCATAGCATTATGGTCCTTTAGTGTCTCCTTTGGATTTTTTATGTGTCTAAATTTTGTATTTTGAAGTAACACAATCTTTTGTTTAACCTTTTCCATTACAGTATTTTTCCATTCATTTAAGTATACTTTTGAAACTTTTTCATTTTTTGTCCAACTTATTGCATACTCATCTATTCCTTTCTTTATTTCTTCTTTTGCTTTCCTGAAGTTAATGTTTCGTTTTTCTCTATAGCCAGGACCTTTACTGAATAGCTTTCTCAATTTTGGATTTTGTATAATCTTCAGATTTCCTGCTATGACGTGACCATGGTCTTCATCCTTAAATTCAGATGTATTACAATCCTATTCTCCTGTATTGTTGCCTTCGTCGATACTTTCTGTAATCTAACTATAGTTGAACAATTTATTCCTTATTGGCTTTGTGTATATATTGACAATTCCTGGTGGTTCCTTATTTTTGATACTTGAAGGTATTGTCTTGATCACTTCTTCATCTCTTAAGATATTTGCAATGTTGATTACTTCTACTGCTTTGTTTTCAAATAGTATTTTACAGAATTTTGTTGGTTTCTTTTTCCTATTCTTGGTCTTTAGTTTATTGTTTTTCTTAAGTTTTGATTGGATTCTGTCCTCCAGAGTAATTTTAAGTCGTGTGTGTAGTCTATCATTATCTTCTATATTTATCATTCCAAGTTTTTTCAATTCTGTCTTCTTCATTTGTGGGACTAATCTCAAGATTGTTTTCATACCTGCCAGTACATTTCTATTGCTTTGTTCCACTATAGTTTCAAATACGTCATTGGCTTTTAATGCCTTTTCTTTACGGTGGTTTCCCTTTGGCCTTTTGTTTTTCTTCTTCCGTTTGTTATCAAAGTCATTGTATTTTACATCATCTTCTGTTCTTTGCTGAAGATTTTTCTCCAGTCTGTTGTTTAATCCGTATGGGTGTACACATTGGAATTTCTTTATCCAGTATGACTCCTTGTCCTCTCTTTGTTTTTGGTCTGCTGCCTTTTTGATTTCATATTTTTTACTTAGTTTGGTAATTTTCTTATCCTCTGTTGGAACTTTTTCAATTATTTGTACATTATGTTCTAAATCTGTACATGGGCCTTCATTGAAGTGATTCGCAAAGATCATACTGTTGTTCCTTTGTTGTTTTTTGGCTCACACAGTGAGCCTATGGGATCGACCAGGCGTCTGTCCGTCCGTTGGTCCGTCCGTCCGTCCGTTGGTCCGTCCGTCCGTCCGTCAACATTGGCCGCACAACTTAAAACTGCTATTCGGATTGAGTCATATTTGCATTCATTTTATGCATATCCATAATGCCTATTTGACCTATCATCGCCATTTCCCAAGTTCACCCGGTTTCCGAGAAATTGCTGATTTTGACGTCAAAAAATCAAATTTTCTGTACATACTAGACACTTTGTTGAAGTAGAACTTTCAAATAACTTTTAAAAGTTACTCTATATGCAACTTATGTCCTCTGAAGATTTCAAAGCCCTTGGAATTACGATTTTTGGTGTTTACTCTATAAAATTTGACAAAAAGTAGGACTTTGAAACTTTCTCATGTATAAAGTCAATGGCAGGTTTTGTGATTGACAAGTTTCTCAAAGTTTGCCTTATACTTGATCATTTCTTGCAATGAATTTCATCATTACTAGATTTAAGCATTCCCTACATATTGCTAAATATATGTCATCATCAAATTTTTACCGTTTTTGAGCTATTTTACGTCAAAAAACAGTAAAAATAAGTTATTTTTCAACTTGCTTCAATTTGACCAATTTTTTTTTTGAAAATCATCTACAAGTTGCCAGGAGTTCAAATCTGACATTTTTAATTTTCAAGTTCAAAGGTCATCAGACTAGGTCACACAACTGTGCTATCTAAGTTTCTCAAAGTTCTAGACTACAAATCCAAATCAATATTTTTGTTTGAAAGTCAGGATATACATTCCTCTGAAGGTTCCAAACTGTGTGAGCACAGGACCGTGGGTCCTTCATTATCCTATGGATTATCTTATGGATGGGTGTTACTGTTCCTTTGGGAGTTGAAGTACAGTCAGGCTGACCTTGTGGGAGGAGGGCACTTGTACTTTGTTGCTCAGGTTGTGGTAGAGGTCGATTTGTAGATTCCGAAGGAGCGTAGGCTTCCACTGGTATGGCGTCTCGATTCAGAGGAATTATCCCACATGCTCTGAAACTATTCTTTACATTACTGGGAGTGACAGACTTGCACCAAGCTTCCCGAAAAAGCTTGCAAGAGCTTTCTTTATTCACGATATTGGATGGCGCTGCCATGTACTCTGAACAAATAGTGTTGTTATCAGATGAATATGGTCCAAGTCTAGTGGCTGCAGCCAATGGGTCCTATGTGGTGGTAAACAGAAGGATGATGTTCTCTGTGAGCTAATTCTATAAGCTTGTGGTACTCATGAGACAGATGACCATCTATAATTAGTAACTGCGGCCTCCGGTCTCCACAATAGTTTAAGAACACGCTTTCAAACCATTCCATGCAAATGGCCTCCTCCATCCAGCCTTTAGGTTGATTAACGAACAGCGTGCTGGCGAGAGCATCATCTGACGAAAATTATATTATAGTACTAGTATGTAATTTAATTTGTTAAGAAAAATCAATAAATAAATGAAATGAAATAAAGGGCCTAGAGGGTCGGGTCAAAATATCAATGTCGCCAATTTGAAGTTTGAACACGTGTGAAACTAGATCTCCATTGGAGAAAACAATCATCAGCATTACATTCTGTCAATCACTTACTAAAAGGCAAAAAATCCAGGAACTTACGTCATCTAATGTTAAATGACAGATAAAAAATGGCAATTAACGTTTCAATATTCAGACGCCTCATATTTATTTCTGAAGATTCATGCATACATTTAAGGTGCTATGGAAGTTAACAGGAAATGACAAAACAGGAAGTGACAATTTTTTTTGCATTTTTAGACATTTTTTGAACAAAGATAACAGAGTTCTGTTTTGACCTCCAGTCAATTCAACTAGTTCCAAATACCATTTACAGGTCCAGGATCACAATGTGCAGGGTCAGAATGACCCTAAACATGATGAAATAACCTTTTTAGCCCTTTGAAAGTGTGACTGAAAAAAAAGCTAAAAGTAGGAGCTAGGGAAGGTCACTGAACAGAATCTTTTGAATTTTTCAGAAAATGTGCCCAATATAATGCTCCAACTGATACAATCTTTGAAATTTTAGAAAATTGTCTAAAACAAAAATGAAAGTCATAAAAAGGAAAATAAATCGCTTTTAAAATCAGTTTTTTCATTTTTTTTCTTTTTCCATGAATGATATCAAATTTTCAAAGATTGTATTATTTAGAGCAATATATTGGGCTCATTTTCTGAAAATTTCAAAAGATTCTGTTCAGTGACCTTTCCTACCCTCCTACTTTTAGCTATTTTTCAGTCACATTTTCATAGGGCTGAAAACGTTATTTCATCGTGTTTATGGTCATTCTGACCATGAACATTGTGATTCTGGACCTGTAAATGGTATTTGGAATTAGTTGAATTGACTGGAGGTCAAAACAGAACTCTGTTATCTTTGTTCAAAAAATGTTTAAAAATGCAAAAAAAATTGTCACTTCCTGTTTTGTCATTTCCTGTTAAGTTCCATAGCACCTTAAGGGTAAATGTGCAACTTTGAAAGTTTGTAACCCTGCTAGGATGTTAGGTACCCGGTTACTCGTTCACTCGGTTTTTCACACAAACTTGATGACGACATACAGAAATTAGGCCATTTATGACAGTATGAAACTTATCTACAATCACGAGGCATACTACTGTCACGAGATCAGACTTACCTTTTATACTGACCACAACACCAGGATTGTGCTCCAGCTGTGTTGACGACTTGTCCATATTCCAGATCAATTCTGGGTGAGTGAAAAATATTGGGTTACTATCAAAAATTCCCTGTAAATCATCAAAGTACTTAAACACGATCTCACGGTTCATGGCTCTAGCACGTGTTGAACTTAATGCTTCCGCCTTCCTCAGTGTTAGTTCAGGATGTCTCCCCTTGCATCTTCTCCACCAAGTCTTATGTTTTAGATGAAAAACAAAATACATATACGTTAAGAACAATGTGTGAGAGAGAGTGACAGTGTCGTTACATCTGGTCTCGCACTATTAACGTTATATACATATCGCTCATTTGCCAACTGACAGACTAGAATTTCAAACCAATGACATCATGTGGTAAAAAGAATCCGAGAAGTTCATGAGTCCTGTATTTTTACGTGAGATGAAAACTTCTATATTGTAGAACATATTTTCCGTTTCTGCTGATAGCAGATTATGTTGAGGAATTTTGCGAAAATATAGAAAAAACGAACAAGTTAATGACTGATCTTGGATTTGTTGTCCACGAAAGGAAAAGTATTTTCATTCCAACTCAAGAAAACAGTTACTAAGCAGTCCTTGGTAATCTCGGCAATGTTATCCCCATATATAGTTGATCCGTGTATTTAATGTTGACACTTGTCAAGTGCCTATATTCATGTGAAATGTCTTTCTTGTGAGCCTCTTTGTTTCTCTGATTTATAAGGTAGTTTGAATGACCAAATAGATCAATAGAATCTAGGGCATAATCAGTTATTTGTTCTCTCTTATCTTGGGGTATGATGGACATAATTTGGTTGATCATGTAAGTTAATTTCACAAGATTAATTGTTCCTTTTATCAAACAATTCTGTATTTCTTGCTGATGTGTATCCACAGGTTGATTCTGGGGGGGATAGAAACCCCCAGATCAGATCATTGACCCTTGCTATAAGGCCTTGCAATTTTCTGGTCTTTCAATTGATTCATTGAGCTTTGTGTGTTTGTCTGGGTCTATACCATCCCTAAATACTCCGTTGACTAATTCAGCCAACTGCTAATCAATATTCTTAGTGGTTTTCTCCTTGGCCTGGTATTGGGTTTTCTTTCCCAAAAAACTTCTTCATTACATGTATCTCCAGAAACTGTGTTTTGGTCCCAAGATAAATCATCACCTTCATCATGTTCATACCACTCCAAATTTTCAACATTTTTTACACCGTCTTCAACCGCATTCAGTTTGTTTAATATTTCTTTTAATACATTATTGTTCAGTAGACCAGTTTGCATGTTCAACATGGCCTTCAGCCAATGACTGCTGTTTTTGTTGCACTACTTTTCATTCTCCTGTAACCCAAAAGAAGCAAACTTGCTAGTAGTAGTAGGGCTATCAGTCCCATTGCTGGTGTTAGCAACTTGAGCAACACTAGTTTTGTATCTTTTGGATGCTACTTTACTAGGGTTTTTACCTTTGGCGTCTTTGATTTGTACAGCAGCCCATGGCCAAAGACCTCAATCGCTATGCGTCATATATTGCACCATAAATCATAGAATTCTGGTCTTTATTCCTAAATAATTGCATGAACATCAATAGCATGATAAAGTTTTATTGTTCATTGACTGCCTATCATAATATGCATTTAATTAAAGGTAAAATTATTTCTTAGATTTTTGTTGCAAAGACTTCCTCAAACTTTGTGTGCCTTTCCTAGAAACCTCTGCACTTGCTGCCATTCTCTGCTTCCAGAATTTGACAACGGATTTTCCTCGCAAGGATACATACTTTGCGATCACAACATTTAGCAGTTCAAAACTGAGATTGTCACTTTCTATATATTGTGACAGAGGGGCCCATGCAGTCAGAAGATCCTGATTATCAATAAGAGATTGGTGGATTTCCTTTTTGAAGTTGATCCCCAAATCTTCACTGACAGTGCTGATGTTCAGCGCACTATGCACTATGGTTTCCATTTTGTGGAAAAATATATAAACTGATTCGTTGATGACAAAAAGTCCTCCACGGTTGACTTTCTCTGTCCAGGCATTGGTATACTGCTCCTCTGACTCAACATTGTCAAGTTCATTAGTCCCCTTCCACGATCTGAGGCACCTTCCCATGACTTCAAATTTAGAATGTTTGTATCTGTTGTATTGCTTAGTGATGCTGAAGGGTATGAATCCTGCAACATAACGAAGAGCCATTTCTTCATCTCTTTTTTTGTTGAACGAGCAGGTGGGGTCACATGACAACACAAGTGGCGCAAATAAAGATTAATATTTTTGATTTTAACAACTTGTCTCTGTGACTGATCTCCATGCGATGAAGTATGGACTGAAATTGTTCATCAATCTCTGTTGAAATACAGACTTGATGAAAGTCCTGCATCATTCTGTATTGGCAATTTGAGGGTAGTTTCATCTTATGCTCTTCGACAACAGCAGGCCAGATATTCTCATGGAGGAATAATGCCATTTCTACGAATATAGGTTCATCACGTTTATCAGCAACTTCTTCAGCGGATGCTATTGCACGACGACCTCTACTGTCCTGAGGCAAAATTTTAGCAAGTTTATCCTCTGTGATTGAGGTCAGGGCCAATATCAGCAAGTTCTTTGCCTCGTCACGGGCTTGGTGCTGGAAATAAATAAACAAACTGATTAGCAATGCAAAAAATAAATACCAACAGAAACATAACATAGTAGATCTATTGGGCTTTGCAGACATATCAGGTCACATCAACAATCCATAGCAATCCACATACAAAAACGGTATTAAATGCACTTTAACATTTATACACTTCAACATTGTAATGTTAATTAATATTAAAACTAATATACATAAATAATTTCATGGTTTTGAACAGTAAAAATCATTAAAAAAGGCAACCTTACAAAATTATGATTATTTTTTAATATTTTTTATTTTGGATGTACCATCACGAAGCTGAGAAGCTATACCCGTGCGGGTATTAATGGATTAAGTGTGAGTGTCAATATCAAAATACCTTTTTTGGAAGAACTGGATGAGCCAGTTTTTGAACCGCATGTTTCGGTCGGAGGGCGTTTGTGGATCTTTCGCACGTGAGCAGTCAATGATTGTTTCCTGGTATATACTTTCCCACATATTACACATTCATGAGTTTCCTTCACATTTTCATTATCAATACTATCACTTGTTTCATAAAGCTCATCCAAATCGAAATCCCCGTCATATATATCGTAAATCGCTTCTAAATCTTCACCGCTTAAGAAATCTTCACTGAACGCCATATTGAAATTTGCTTCTTTTCCGATTAACCAGCGCATGCGCATTGGACAGTTGAAAGGTCACAAAACCATGTGACCGAAACACTGATGGATTCACTGAAAGTACTTGATTCAGGTCCATGAGCAGCCAAATCTGTGAAGAATAACTTCTTGTTTGAGTGATATCGATATTTCTATTTTCACATGAAAAGACGTGCATAAACTTTGTAAGCAAGAGTCAATGAATATTTTCGTGAAAATATCAAATGAATATATTTCAAAATAAACCATACCACATCTCATCTGAAACCGGAAGTTATGGTTTGTGAAATAATAAATACTTTTGCTACTACTTATATTTACCAAAATTTACCTGCATATAGATTATTCAAATGTCTACAACAATCTGCGGTTATTTTCTGCTCATAACAATTTAAATGACTGCAAGTAGATGCTAATTAAATGGTACAACC